TAATATTGTTGCACTTTATTTATTTATTTATTTATTTATTTTGTTTAAATAAAATTATAAACTAAATAATAAAGTGTGATAATACACTCAAAAAAATGCTGGGTTGTTTCAGCCCAACTTTGGGTCAAATATGGACTAACCCAACTTTTGGGTTTAAAATGTAATGTAAAAATTTAACCCAACGGTTGGGTTAGTCCATATTTGACCCAAAGTTGGGTTGAAACAACCCAGCATTTTTTAAAGTGTACTATTATATTTTAAAATAAAAGGAGTATTAAATACATATACAACAATTTAATAGTAAACTTAAAAATAAAATGCTAATATTTACTTCTTTTTTAACGATGAATTGTCATCATTTTCAAACTTAAAGGGTTAGTTCACCCAAAAATGAAAATTAGCCCATAAATTACTCACCCTCAAGTCATCCTAGGTGTATATGACTTTCTTCTTTCAGACGAATCCAGTCGGAGCTATATAAAAAAAATTATCTTTGATCTTTCAAGCTGTTCAATGCCACTCAGCTGGTGTTGCATGCATCCGTCCAAAAGAAGTTAAATAAAATGCGCCCATCCATTAAAAAAAAGTGTCTCACACGGCTCCGGGGGGTGAACAAAGGCCTTCTGTAGCGAATCGCTGCATTTTTGTAAGAAAAATATCCATATTCAAAATGTAATAATCACTTTAATCTAGCTTGTGCTCACTGTTGTACACTGGAATCGATTTTTAATATAACTCCGACTGGATTCGTCTGAAAGTTGAGTAATTTATGGGCTAATTTTCATTTTTTGGGTGAACTAACCCTTTAAAGCATCACATATGCCGAAGATTTTAGTTTTGGTTCTACATTTTCATTTTGGTAGTTGGTTTGGGTTAATAGTTATGGGAATTGTTTGGTTTTGATTATTTCTTTGATTTGTCGACACTCTTGTTTCCTCTCTGTGTTTCTGTTTCTTCTCAAGTTGTTTGTAAATTTAACCACGCTCTCACTAATAAATGAGACTTCTTGGTGCTCGTTACTTTGTTTCATTGGTACAGTAGTCTGTTATTTACACACACGCAACAGTTATGTCTCACCTAAATGTTGCACAATCATCCCTTCTTTAATATCAAGCATGTCAAAAATACTGAAAGTAACTCTAATGAACAAAAAGACGTGACCTGCTCCATCATTTTGAGTTGCTTTGACACAAACATTTTTAGTTTTAACATAGCTTGTGTTGTTTTCAGCACATCTTTTTTTAAGAGTGTGGATTAACAAACAGTGAAATAAAATAATGAATTCAATATAAGGTTACAGATTGTTCAGAAATGCATTAGAAGGAGGGAGAAAATCATTCTGTTCAGTGTACCGATAAAGCCCTAAGTTGCTGATGTGGACGTTTCAAATTCGTATACATAGGCTTATACAGTAGGCATAGGCGTATGTTCCCCAATAAACCCACCCCTTTCTGAACAGACATAAACGGAAAAGCAGCCAGTTATTTCATTCTGTTCCTGACACATGATGGATCTGCGTGTCTCTGTTGTTCTGCTTTTCTTTTTTCTCACTGGAGGTACAAAAAAACCCAGCAAGTATTTAATTCTATATTATTTGGTACCCATAGAGAGGTTACTAAATGCTTCTCTCTGTCTTAAAGGATACTCTCTGAAGTGTTACTCGTGCTTATCTGCTCAGGGGGGTTCCTGTAAAGCAGAAGTGGAGATATGTGGAGATGGATTTTCCAAATGTGAAAGCAAAACAGTAGAACAATCCATTGGTAATTCCAGTATGATGAGAAAATGTACTGCAATAACTTACTGAATGTGATAATATTGCTGGAGATTAATTCATGACTAAAGTATCCACTTCATTTTTTCACGAAGTTTTTGTTAATGTGCGAGACTTCCCTGTAGCCCCTCACTGCAGAACACAAGATCCAAGGGGGCATGGTTGGATCCACATCTAGGGAGTGGAGACGGGTAGGTTTAGGGATCTGTCGGTGGAGACGGGTAGGTTTAGGTATATGTAAGGTGGGAGGAGTTGGATCTGGATCCAACCACGCCCCCTGGATCTTGTGTTCTGCAGTGAGGACCATCTCAGACTTCCGGTTCATCATCCATAGGTAAATAACTAGAATAACAAAGTGCAGTGAACAGCAAAACTACTTGTGCTACAAACCAGTGTATATGATTATGACAATACATTAAAATAATATGAGGAAAAACCAGTATGAAATATCAAGCAGCTTAACTGTACAGCTAAAATAACAGGAAGAGAATTCACAATGGCTGGGCCTGCTCTGGATGCTTTTTGATCTTTTCACATACCTGCAAATGTTGGAATTGTTTCATTATCCTATTGTATGAGGTTTGTGTCTTTTTTACAGGTGGTTTCGCTAAGGTGTCTATCACAACTAAACAGTGTGCACTTAGATGTGAAGCTGGGGCCCAACAGCTAATAACTGGAGGGACTGAAACTACCCACTGCTGTGAAACTGACCTCTGCAATGCAGCAGGTAATTTTCTGTATATGATCATGTGCTAATTAGCAGTTAGGTTTGGTTCACAGTGACGTAAAATGAGGAAATAATACAAACAGTAATACAAACACAAGTGATTGTTCAAAGGAACATAATATCAAATTTCAAGAGTAGTCCTGAAGAATCTTGAGTGGCAGGTAAAGGAGAATCTAATGAGTTAGTCAAGTGCAGTTGTGATGAAATTTCTCAACAACGTATAAGCACTTTTTAAGAACTATTATTAGTAGTAGCCTTAATTACCAGTGATTTTCTTATTGTCTTGATCAGATGGCATGTATAAGGGAAGCTTCCTCCTGCTGTTGTCTCCTCTGCTCTTCTACTTCCTGTTTCAGTGAATCCTGCTGCACTTCAGATTCTACAGCTGCAGCAGAAACTGAACGTCACACGTTTCTAGCCCTACTTTATTAATAAAGCTTGTTTTGCTGTTCTGCTGTTCTTTGGTATCATGATTTGAGGAATGGAAAATCTGTATTTTATTAAAAAAAATAACCAAAATAATAAATACAATAATAAATGTTCTACTGTTCTTCGGTATCATGATTTAAGGAACAGATCATCTGTACTTGTATTCAATAAATGTTAAATAAAATTCTGCACCAACACTGTAACAGACAAATAATTATTCAAAAAAGGTGGGAAATTTTGTAGTAATGAGTTTGCAATATCTGTAGTAACTTTTTAGAGTAAGAATATCTGCAGTGGAGACTATAGGGGTCATTCCTGAGATTCAGCAATATTTCAGCCCTCCAGATTTTTTAAAGTAGTGGTTCACCAAAAATGAAATGTTACTCTTGTGATGAGAAGAGCTGCTCAAACATGTTGAGCTGTTCAGGGAGTGAAGACCGCTGCTTTCAAGCAACAGGTGAGAATCTGGAAAAGGAAGAAGTCATTATTTTTATGTCTTTGATGTTTTGAGCATTTGATACAGATCACGTTTACCAATTTCCATGCAGCTTTGAAAGACATGTCTTCTTTTCTTTTCATCAGGGAGTTTTTTAGGCCAGTCACTGGGTGTAAAAGGCTGCATCTCTAAATCTATCTGTGAAGCCACAACATCAGTTGGTGATGTTGAAGGCATCTCATGTTGTTCCTCTGCTGTTCTCTGCTCTCCTTCATCCTGCTTCACTGAATCCAGCAGCTCTTCACGTTCTACAATCAGACACACTGTACTGAATACATAGTATTTTCTGTACTATGTATCTTTAGTGTCCGATAATGTTTTTTCTTTGCTGTGATATTCTGATGTGACATTGACTAAATAAAATATTAAATCAGTTTTTTTCCTGGTGCCATATTTACTAAAAATATTACTCAAATACTTACAAAGTGGACTTGAAACACAATGTGATTAAGGAGAAGTGCTGGGTACTGATAACAGTTTGATTCATATCTTAAATCTGTAATATCGATACTACATTTATAAAAAAAAATGTAGGTAAATGCCAGTTTTCCACTTGGACCCACTGCAAAATGTAACAGTCGTTTGAGTAAAGTTTCAAATTGCATTTAGCAACTTTTATCAGCAGGTGGCAGAAGATGATATTTTGTCTACTAGTAAAACAACACCTTTGCATTTGTTGACATCAAGAGGTGCAGTTTTTTAGAAGTTTGATGTATTAATGTTTTGTCATTGTATTAATAATTATCAATTTATAATAATAATAATAATATTATTATTATATTATATATAAATATATATTATATATATAATTTTATAATAATAATAATAATAACTGTGTAAAATGAACAGGATGAAAAATATGAACACAAATAAAAAATGCTGGTCTGATGTCATTGTGAATGCCTCATTCATGAAACATGAGAAGACTGAATTTGTGAATAATGTAAAATGACGCGCAAGTAAGTGAATGTAAGTGAATGTGACAATTGACATTAATTTTAAAAAACGGCTAATTTTTCAAGTTGGTGGTACATTTTCAAAACTGATATAGTTCAGCAAAAAATGCATATTTTTTGAAAACATTTAAGCATATTTTCAGTTATCAATTTACAATACACAAAATCCCAAAGTATAATTTTCACTACATGATGTTTCATCAGTACACCGTGATCATTTCATTTAACTGCATTTCATAATGCTTAATTTTCATGAACTGCTCTTATTAGTGAATCAGTGAATGGGTTTGCAATGGATAACCAAGTAATTACATCTTCTTACAGTATCATTTATTTATTTCAAATCATAACCACAGAAAAGTTTCTGTGTGCAAGAGAGGAAGAGACAACTCTTGCAATATGTGACAGATCAGCATGTATTAGAAGAAACAGGAAACAATCACTCTGAGTGATCAGAGATGCATTTGAAGGAGGGAGACAAACAAGAGAAATTTATTCTGTTGCATCACAAAAAAGCCCCAAGAAGCTAAAGTGCAAGTTTAAAAATTCTTCCTGTTTTGTAAGAGTAACTGGCAGGCCTATGATAGGCTAGTGTAGAACTTAGCAAAGGTTTCCCAGAAAACCCACCCATTTCTGAACAGACATAAAAGGAACGAAAACATAGTTATTTAATTCTGTTCCTGTCTGATATATGATGGATCTGCGTGTCTCTGTTGTTCTTCTGTTCATTTTTCTCACTGGAGGTACAAAACACTGCAAGTATTTAATTATGTATTATTTGGTACACAAAGGGAGGTCACTAAATGTCTCTCTCTGTCTTTAAGGATACTCTCTCAAGTGTTACATGTGCTCATCTGCTCAGGGGCGTACCTGTGAAGCAAAAGTGCAGATATGTGGAGATGGATTTTCCAAATGTCAAAGCCAAACAATAGAACAATCCATTGGTAAGTCCAGTATGATGTGGAAATTGTAATTAATTTGATTAATTGATGAATAAAGTATCCACTTCATTTTACAATGCAAAATAAAGTTTCTGTTAATGTGTGAAACTTCAGATTCATCATCCACTAGGTAAATAACTAGAATAACAGTGCGCTACAAACCAGTGTGTTTATAACTATATATTAAAATAATATTGGAAATACCGGTTATCAGTATCAAGCAGACTGTTTCTCTACAGCTAAAATAAAAGGAAGATGATTTACATTCAGGTTACAAATGGACATGGATGCTTTTGATCTTTTCACAAAACTGCAGTTGAAATTGTTTAATTATCCTATTATAAAAAAGGTTTGTGTCTTCTTCTTTTTTTTGCAGGTTCCACTAAGTTGTCCATCAAAACTAAACAGTGTGCACTTAGATGTGAAGCTGGGACCCAACAGCTCCCGACTGGAGGGACTGTAACTACCCACTGCTGTGACACTGACCTCTGCAATGCCGCAGGTAATGTTCTTTATATAATCATGTGCTTGATTTTTCCCACAGTGACTTAGAATGAGGAAATACTACAAACAATAATACAACAAACACAAGTGACTGTCCAAAGGAATAATCACATTTCAAGTATAGTGCAAAGCTAGAGCGGCAGGAAAAGGAAGTTGAACAATGAATAAGCACTTTTTAATTGCTATTATTACTAGTTGTAGCATTAATTACCAGTGATTTTCTTATTGTCTTGATCAGATGGCGTGTATTAAAGCAAAACGTGATTGGCTATAGCGAGATCGTGCTACGATTGGTCAGCGAATGTGGCTGTTATCTGATTGGCTTGAGTAGACAGTGGGTGGTGTCCACGTATTTGTGGATTGTCAGCACGTCTTGACGCAAGAAATGTTTCACAATTCGCAAATGCACAGGACGCGATTTACAAATGCGTGCAGCTATCTACAAATGCACAGGACGCGATTTACAAATGAGTGCGCTATCTACAAATGCACAGGACGCGATTTACAAATGAGTGCGCTATCTACAAATGCACAGGACGCGATTTACAAATGAGTGCGCTATCTACAAATGCACAGGACGCGATTCACAAATAAATGCCAGGCAAAGTTGTGGTTGTGACATAAATATATATTTGTGAATATGTTTTTTATTTGCAAATCTCATTTTATTTATTTGTGAATTTAATTCATGTTTGTGAAACTTTAAGATTTATTTGTGGATCTCATTCTATTTATTTGTGGATCATAATCTATTTATTTGGAATTAAGCAACAATTCTACCCCCATAGTGGGCCGACACACTTAAAGGCACAATATGTAATTTTTCGCAGCTAGAGGGCACATATTCAAAATGAACAGAAACAAAGGCGTAGTTTGATGATGCAGTGACTGAGCGTGGAATCATGGGAGTTGTGGTCTTCATCCCCACAGCCGATGCAATCCAACAGGACTCGGGCAGAAATCACGTTCATGGATGAGCTAAAGATTTATTAACGTAGTAGAATTAATGACACAATTTTAATTTTGGGGTGAACTAACCCTTTAAAGGCACAATGTGTAATTTTCGATGCTAGAGGGCGCGTATTCAAAATAAACAAAGAGACAATGGTGTAGTTTGATGACGCCGTGACTGAGTGTGGAATCATGGGAGTTGTGGTCTTCATCCCCACAGCCGATGCAATCCAACAGGACTCGGGCAGAAATCACGTTCATGGATGAGCTAAAGATTTATTAACGTAGTAGAATGAAGCAGGCTGAGGCTGAAAGCCGTCGAAGCGAAACGAGGCCGCGAAACGAGGCCGCTAAACGAGGCCGCTAAACGAGCGCAACACACGGCTCGCAAGCAGCGGAGCTTTTATTATGCCACAGTTGACCGCTTCCGCTCCTTCCGGTCGTGCGTATGTGGAGGAAAGCAGCGCTGTTTTATCATACTAGATACGTTTTAAAGTTCTGTTATAATGCTACTCTGTGCGGTCATCACCAGTCTAATGAAACGCACAACATAATAAAGCGTCTTTGGTGTTTCCATGTTTTCTACAAAACAAAACCGGAAATCGAGGAGTTATGACGTCATTGGCAGGCGACACAATGACACTATGGACACGGTCCTTGTCACTAGTTAAAATTGCTTATTTCTCTGCATTTAAATATTCTTCGAAACATTTGGGATAATGTAAGTACACAAGTCAGCAAAATATATACCACTGTTCTAGTGGTTTTTGGATATTTTAATTTAAAAAATCTTACATATTGTGCCTTTAAGGGGCCGACAGAATGTTTTTTTATCAAGGACCATCACGCACGGACAGCGAGCAGCCAGTGACCCATTGGTTTATCTCCTGTATTGACAGCGTAAACCACCCAATCACAATGCGCTATAGACGGAGCGATTAATTATTTTGCTCCACCTATATAAAGATCGCTTCACCTCAACTTCTTCCTCGTCGGCTTTTCCCATGTTTTCACAGCAGATTTATCAAGAACAGGCTTGCTCTGCGGTGAGTGATGCGGGCCAAAGAGCCAGGCAAGAGGAGGAGAGGAGAGTAGTTGAATCTGTAAAGTGCTTGATAGGGACTCGCAACGGAGGCAGGCATCTAACCTATCCTAATGTGTGTGTGCGCCATTAGAGTAGAATACGAAAACCCTTTTTAATAAAACGTAAATTCGCCCTACGCGATTTTTTGGCCAAGTCAATTTTGTTCATAGAGGTTTCCATGGGCCAATGCGAATAAATATAGATTTAAATTATAAAAGACACGATATTGTCAGACCTGACGTTTTATTCTTATCCAAAACAGCTAGATGCAATGATACATATCTACACTACCAGTTAAAAACATTTTTGAACAGAAAGATTTTTTAATGTTTTTTTAAAGAATTCTCTTCTGCTCACCAAGCCTGCATTTATTTGATCCAAAGTACAGCAAAAGCAATAATATATTGTGAAATATGTTTACTACCGGTATTTAAAATGACTGCTTTCTATTTGAATATATTTTAAAATATAATTTATTTCAGTGATCAAAGCTACATTTTCAGCATCATTACTCCATTCTTCAGTGTCACATGATCCTTCAGAAATCATTCTTATATGCTGATTTGCTGCTCAAGAAACAATTTTTGATTATTATTATTATTATTATTATTATCAATATTTAAAACAGTTGAGTACATCTTTTTTCAGGATTCTTTGATGAATAGAAAGTTCCAAAGATCAGCATTTATTTGAAATAAAAAGCTTTTGTAAAATTATACATTATACCATTCAAAAGTTTGGGGTCAGTATATATATATATCAATGCAATATTTAGCAATGCATATATAACTAATCAAACATTTAGTTTTGATATATTTACAGTAGAAAATTTACAAAATATTTTCATGGAACATGATCTTTACTTAATATCCTAATTATTAAAATCGATCATTTTGACCCATACAATGTTTTTTTGGCTATTGCTACAAATATACCCCAGCGACTTAAGACTGCTTTTGTGCTCCAGGGTCACACACAAAATTTGTGGGTGGAGCTAAAATTTGTGGGTGGAGCTACTGTAAATAGCCTCTATCAACAAGGCGGGCTATTTGCACTTAGTGTAGATAGACACTCCAGGGGGGGGGAAATCCATAGACGCTTATAATGCGTGTATCTGGCAACTCGACTGAGGCTGAGCCCGCGTCCTCAATCACAACTCGCTCAAGGGACGAGGCCATGTAACCTTTTCACGATGATAATATTTTTTTTTTATCCAAATAGCTTGCTGAAATACTTATGCGGCCGCCTCATCTACGTCAGCCATTTGATGTTCTGAATCTTTTAAGTGTGACAAATATGCAAAAAAACACTAAGGGGGCAAAAACCTTTTCACACCACTGTATATGCATAAAGAGTGATAGTAAGACAGCCTGATGCATTCTAGGTCATTAAATCTTCTGACGTCTCAAGTCTGATCCTTCATTATCTCACAGAAAAGGAAACTGGTTCTGTTTAAACACAATGTTTCATGAGTGTGTGTGTGAGAGTAGGTCATAAAACCTTTCATGTTTTACAACAATACAGTATAATAAAGTGAAAAGATCGTACAAATTAAACAAGTAATTGGATGTAGATACTGAATGTAGATAATACAGCATTCATTGGTAAACAAAGTATGCATGACTTTCTTTCTTCTGCAGAACACAAGAAGAAGATATTTAAAGACCTTTGGAGCCCAAACAACACTGAACCCCAATGGGTTTCATTTTATGGACAAAAACACACACAAACACAGAGACATTTTTCACATATCTTATTTTGTGCTCCACTAAAGAAAGAACATCAAACAGGCTTGGAATGACATGAATAAATTATGACAGAATTGTCACTTTTGGGTGACCTGTCCCTTTAAAATTGTTTAGTAGACTGTAATTCCTTATCAAACATCCCATTGAGACTTGTGTTAAACTTTAACATAAAGACCCACACCTTCTGATAAGCTATAAAATGAGCACTGAAACAGACACGTCATCTCATTCACCTCCTCATCAAAGATGGATCTGCAAATCTCGTTTTTTTTTCTCTGTTCGTTCTTTTCACTGCAGGTACAAAGACAAATAGTGTTTGTAATGTTACTGAGTGCTAATACAGATAATAGATGTTTCTCTCTCACTGTCTCTCTGGACACTCTTTCAGCTGTTATAATTGTGACAGTATGACGGGTTCTTGTGCGGATCAAAAGGTAGAAATCTGCTAGAGTGCAAATTCCAAGTGCTCAAGTATAACATCGGTGTCAGACGTTGGTAAGTCCAATATGATGGATCTGAAATGTAACAGAACTGCTACTCATTTTCCTGAAGGAACATACTAATTCAAACACAAAATATTCTGTCTTTCTGATATTTACATTTAGTCATTTAGCAGACAAATGGAAGCAATCAAAATCAACAAGAGAGCAATGATTTATGTGTTATAACAAGTCTTAGTTAGCTTAATGCAGCACATGTAGCAAATTCTTTTTTTATTATTATATAATAAATAAAAAAACAGATAGAATAGAAAAAGAATAGAGCAAGCTAGTGTTAGAGGCCTTTTTTGCTTTTGTTAATTGTATAATAAATAAAAAGAAAACAAATAGATAGAATACAGAAAGATTAGAATTTCTTTTTAAAGAAAACAAGCAGTAAATGAATAGAGTGCTAAATAGAATAGAATAGAAGTCTAAAAGGGACGAGTTTTTTTTAAGAATAGAATTAGAATAGCGAGTGCTAGAGTTAGAGGGTCAAATAAAGATATTTCATTTGTTTTCCTTCGGATTGTTCTGCTAACAATACGATTTATATCTGAAAACTTACAAAATTTAACATATCAATTTATCATCAAAATAATTAGCACTGTTAATAAACTGTTTTTTCCCCCTGAATCATTCATGTTTTTATGTGGCATCAGTGCTAACGTGAAGCTTAAACACTGTGTTTCTGACTGTGTAAATGGGTCCATGAATGTCGGCATTGTAAGGACGTCTTCAGTTTGCTGTGACACTGACCTTTGTAACGTCCACGACGCTCCAGGTATTGTGCTTTACTGGCCATATGCAAATGTACAACAGTACAATAAGTAACAATGTGTTGTTTCAACTTCAAAAGGTAATCATTTCATCAAACTTTTTTACAGTACTTTCAAAGAGGAAATAAAATACAGGCTGTGGCTTGTCAGTTGTGAACTGATTGGATGGAGCAGCTAACAGAGGGTTGTTTCATTAGATGTTATATTTTGT